GTTGATCGTATTTATATATATTTTTTCAATCAAGTTTAAAAATTAATTAAATTTTATTATAGTATTAATTCATCTTTTTGTTATTAAGATCCTATTATTAGAAAAATATTTTTTTAGTTGGATTAATATCCAAAAAAAATCTAATAACTTTTTTCCTACGAAGATCACTCCATATGTATAAACATTTACATATCTTTCAAATTTTTAAAACTTCAATTTCTGAACCATTAAGAAATGCTATGATTTTTTTTTCTTCCAAATCAAGGACATAATTGCTCAAAATAAAAGTTGATTGTCATCTCAATTTTCAAGATCCTTGATTTTTCACCCATAAATATATATATATAAACAGGAAAAGAAGCCTTGAGAACGTCAATTTTATCTAATATTTGGACAGTGAACGCAGTTGTCTGCCTTCATCTGCGATGGAAAAGGGCGATTACTGTCACATTCTTTCTACAGCAGCTCATTATTTTTAGTTTACGTGATGATTGTCGTATTCCGATGTTACTGTAAAGTGCATAAAAGATATTAGACTATGTCAATATATAATATTTAAATATCTAAAAAAATCTTTTATTTTTTTTTTTCCGAAAGTCTCTCGTTTTGTTTTTCCTCAAACGATGTCCTTGTTCCTTATAATTATGTAAATATTTTTCATAATCATCCCCGAAACTCTCAAAGTATTCGACAATAGAGTTATCATGCTGATAGTCGTGCTTCCATCACCATAACAAGAGCAATCATGCTATCGTCGATAACGCTTATCATGCGCTTTTTAATCATTGGGCAACTTTGAAGGACATAACGATAAAGGGAACAATAGAAAATGAATAGAGTTAAGAAAGAGGACGAGACGAAGGACATGGAGCTTATGGAAGAAAAAAATAATAAAAACTAAGGTGATGAGGATCACAAAAATGGAAGAGGCCAGATTTGAAGGAGAGGACAAAGACGATAAAGCCTCGTAACAAAGTGAGGGCGTCACACGACACAACGAGAGATATTTATGATATTATTTAGGTATGTAGAAAACATAAAAAACATGAGATATCTTACGAGCCAAAAGAGGGACTTTTTCCGTAAAAATCGCCAAAGGAAACAATATGAAGATTATTGACCCCACTTGGCACGTTAGACTGCATGTTGACCGCGGGTTGACGTGCTCGAGTTTATTCGCACGAACTGCGTCCGCTTCGCGTGTGTCGGTCGAATCGCTCGGTCGGTGATGAATTGGGACGGCGGCTTGCACGCGCGACCATGTGAACACCGTGCGACAAGCCATGGATTGAACCCGGTGCTCGGTATATCCATCAAACGTCACAGATATCATCATGTCATTTGCAGTCTACATGAAGAGAGAAAAGAAAGGTCAGTTCAGTCTACAAGAAGGTCACAACTATGATGGCCGGATCCTGTGGCTACAGTGAAAGTGAAGTACACGTCCATGAAACATATGCTCCTCGCAAGATGATCACAAGCAAAATGGTGTTGACGGGCTACCGAGATGACTCTCCACGCTTGCTGACGAATAACTTTCCGACATCTTCAGTAACCACATTGCTCCTGACAAGGCCAAAAACAAAGTTCAATTTGATTATGATATTACTGCCAAGGCAATTAAATGTGATAAGAATGACCGAAAACCAACACTATAGTGCTTTAAACACAGGAAAGAGCTAACCATCAGCCACAGCAAAATATACAAGAGAAGTGAGATGTTAATGGCTGAGAGACCAAGAAAACATGAATTCAAATATCGAGGTGATAATACTGACATCTCAACTAAATTTGTTTATGCAGCAGCATATCATACCATCGCACTTCAAGAGAGATTGGTAAAGAGCTGCTGCTTGACATTAAATTCCCTGTTATTGGAAATTCTAGTATACCATCAACCAATCAGTCACCACACAGATAATGACACCAAACATCAACTAATCTGTCAAATTTTCTCTATCCAAAGTAAGTCATTTATGCAGTTTATTGAACACTTATAACACATGCATGTCTCAAATTATGCTCATCTAAGAATCCTTGATGATGACAGCTGGTAATGGAGATAACATTGACTTGAATGTTAAAAATCTTAACTCAGAAATAATGCCTTGTCAAAATTTGAGCAGTTTAAATAAATTTGCAAACAAACTAAGCTACTTGAAGTTTTGCTATATAAATCTTAATGCAAAGGGGCTACTTGTCAATTTGACTAATATAGAAGAAACTGATGTTAGATGTAGCAGCAAGAGTAAAAATATAATATGTATGTTCATTCATTATGCTGAAAAACCATGCAAAGAAACCCTCCTTCCCTCGCTATGACTAAAATATTAACTACCAGATGATAACACCTGATATATTACAGATTGGTGTGTGTGTGTTGAACAAGCAACTGTCCAAGAGAACTATGTGAGGAAGAAAGGGGCCGACTCGTAATTAAACAAGCATTTCCAAGCATCAAACTTCATGGCTTCTGATATAGTTTTTAATCTTTCTACTCCCTTGGTCATCATCCTAGTTGGTGGAACATGGATGCTCTAAATGTTTGCCTTACTCGTATCAGATATGTGTCTGGTGGATATGTCTAATTACAGTGTGGGATGCTTCACCGAAGTGACAGATTCCTAAAATAATTATTAAACTTTTAGATATTTGGTAATAAACGAGAAGCACTTTCTGCCTAAAAGCTAGGCAGAAACCTAGACAACGAAATGCTTGAAACAACATACCACTATATTAATAGTATTAAGAACCTTCCATGAGATAATATTAATGAACTTCTTTATTGATATTTGATATACAAATACCGATAACAAAGAATTACAATGTTAAGCACTAAGTGAGTTGCAAACTTACAAATGTTAAAGGTATGTAGTTATATAACATCCACATCCTCGGAAAATAATCCTTCCTTATATATATGCATTTTACCATTCACGTGCACTAGGTGCTATGCGGATCATTGTTATCCATGTGCACCCAAGCACTAACACCACAAAGACTGAAGCCCCAACCTCTTGACTCAACCAGGAAGCAAGAAACTAAAAAGTTAAATGCAATTTAATGTGATTTGTAGTCACGGATAATGGAAGCACACCCTTTAATCAGATAACATGGAAATTCTTGCTTATCTCATCCAAAATAACCAGTAAACATCATCACACACCAGTAGTTAGTGTATATAATAGCATGGAGATTCTTCCGGATTGAACAGAAGCTAACCAACTTCCTTTAGTTTTTATTCCCTTACCTCCCACTGAGCTGTGGTGGAACTAACAAGCCACCCATTGTGTTGGGAACATTTCTTGGATGTGTTGATTGTCCTCTGGGATGTTTACTAGATGGTTGAGGAAAGGTAGAACCATTTGACTCTCTCTTCCTTGATGCTCTTTCTGCAATTGCAGCGGCAACTCTAGAGGAGTGATCACCAACCATGTGGTTTGACTCATAGGACGGTGCTGCAAGTAGAACTGATACATCTGGAAGTCCTTCCAATGATGGTGGCGGCAAGGAGATTATGGTTGAAGGTTGATCTGTCACTATGGAGTTTCTGGAGATACATTCAAAAGAAAAAAAAAAAAAAGCAATGGAGGTTAGAAAGCAGTAAATCAATAATATAATAGTACAAATTCAGATGCTCCTATTGCTAGCAAAATAGAGACCCTCTTACAACGAGAATCTTTGTAACCTAAGGTAAGCCCATAACTGAGTTCATAAGTTGTTACCGTTGTAAAACTTGCAGATATTCATTTACTCTAGATAGACAGTCAACAATCGAGAAGCTACAGGGGGAAATGTGAAGTATGACAAAATGCTGAAAACTCCATCTGTCTCATCAAATGATTTGTAGAAATAATTCCTCTCAATAACTTTTACAAGAACCCTTCAATTTTGTTTTTTATGCATATAACAAACATTACCCAAATCTCTAATCTTTCTTTCCACTATTGCAACAAGCAAATGTATGCTATTTTCTACAAATAAATTAACATGTCACTT